CAAATCAACTATTGCCTTATCTTTTAAAAATTATTTTTGCTTTGAAAATTATACTTCTCAAAGAGTTAGGAGAAGAATGGGAAGGCAGGATATAAAATGGAAAATAAGTAGGGTCTCTAACGGGTAGAGAATATAAAACACAAAAAAGCCAGTGCCCTTAAAGAAACATTAAAATGACATTATGTCCTATACTTTCTCAACTTAAAATACTTACTGTACTTGCTCCAGAGATGTGATAAATCAAAATCACAAGTTGCATCCAACCTTTCCATTCATCTGTTTGTTCTCTATTTAATACTTTAGTCTGTGTAAAGGAACCAAAATTTGTTTTAAAATTCATCATAAATTATTTAGACAGTATATATCAAGTATGTTAAAATTTTTCTTACAAGATATAAAGCTAATGCTTTCTGTCAAAAGAATTTTGACGGTGGTGGGTGGTGGGAGTTAAAAGTTATCATTTTATTTCTTGCTAAAAGACATCATAAAACTATTTTAATTATAACATGAATTTGAAAAACAAATATAAACTAAAGGAGATTTTGAATATTTAAGTTGATCTTTTGGTTTTATATTAAAATGACATTTAAACTATAAAAGATGTGAATATTTATAAATCTAAAAACGGTATTCTACAATTTTCTTTAGAATTTCAGAGTTAAAAAAAGATCTTACAGTTCTCTCAGACTTTGTCAGAAAAAGCTCTGTTATTATAGTTTATTTTCCCTAGTAATTCTTACTAGAGATGAAGAACTGATTAATAATCCTCATAGGAGAGGTATTTTTAAAAATAGATCTTATTAATTCAAATAAATCATGGCTTGTAAACATGTTACACAAATATTCTGAGCAATGACAGCAATTCTAAAATAGGAAATTGAGAATGCTGTGAGTAGTGTCCACATCATTGTGTGTAAGTTTTAATTTGTGTGTATACATGTCTGACTGATAAATATATATGTATGGACATACATATAGGCATTTGTTAATATAATGATATGTTTTTACTTTATAAAAAATAATAGCATCACATGACCAAAGATCACTGTAAAATCAGGAGCTTCCTCCACTTTCTCCATCCCTAAGCAGGCAAAATAACACTAAGTCATGGTATCTTTTTCACAATCATATTTTTGAACTTTTCAACAATCTTCATGTGACTCTGAACCTCTTCCAAACTGTTCTGAAAAAACTACTGTTAAGAGTTCACTAAGTGAAGTATAACTACAATATTCCTTCATCTTCATCTATATACATATTTGTATATTATGGCAGGATAAATGATTTTTTTAATCTAAAGTTTATAATGAGATAAGAAGAATAATATGAGCTACAAAGAAAATGATTCTTACCTCCTTAGTATTTTCATTGTAAAATACTCCCAGAACCAAGATGTAGATAATTGGAATAAAGAAAGATGAATGTGTATAAAACTTGTTTTCCTTCATAAACAGATTTGCACGGTCACACATATAGAAATAAGCCATAATCAGGCCAAGTTTGCAGAAAGACTGCAAAAGTGTTTCTAATGGAGACACAGGGGTATTGATAATATTTTTCTTTTCCTCTCCACTTTCCAAATCAGTACATGGCTTATTCTTCCGATGAGCATTACGATGAATTATATAAAAAATTAAATATCCGATAATAGATAAAGTGAAAAAGCAAGCAGCTAGCTTCTGTATAAGAGTAAGAGGAGGCCGAGGTTGACAACAGGAACCATCTACAGGCTTCAAAATCTTATTGCAATACACGTTCATAAGAATCATTGCACTCTGTGAACAAATCAAGTTATTTGGTTATTATCTTGTCAGTGATGCATTTCACATTAGATTTTCTCCTGTGAATACTGTTGAGTTTTCAGCACTGAAACCAAAATGCTTTTGTACTTTTTGTTACCATTTCCCAAACACTCATGCAAATAATGATATTCCTTCAATCTTTCAACAGCTAGTTCAGGGTGTTTCAAACTTCTGGGATTATGATCCATAATAAAAAATTCATTTTACAACGTGACCCAGGATACATTTACAAGAGACAATACCTATCCTTACTACTTGGAATGCACTCTGACATTGTTCTATTCTATTGTTTTTTTTTAATACTGATTTCATGGCTGCTAATGGGTCATGACCTTTGGTTAAAAAAATACTGACAGATGTCAAGGACCAAAGAATTTTAACTAGCAAACTTTCAAAACAGAGGATACCAGGATACTTAAGAGTCTACTCTTTAAATGCAAAAAAAGAATGTAACATAACCACACTGAAAAATTATTAATTCTTAGCTAACAATATTTGTAATACACCTTTCATTTGGTCTATAGTTTATAGACCATTTAGGATTTTACAGTTTTAAGATTTCTAATGTTAAATAAAATATAGAAGCTTCAACATGGTTTGATTATAATAAAATTATTCCAGGAAAGCTGTCAAGATTCTGTCTAGTTAAAGTTTTAGTCAAACTCTAGTTTCATAAAAACTTTATAGTTTAGGCATTTGTGGAACTCTAGATGATTATATTATTTAAGACTAAGTATTCAAAGTACTCAAATGTTTAGGAAATCTCATCCGTTTAGCCCTGAGACTTCAGGACGTTCTATGCCGGCACTCTTGCATAAACTAGCCTGCAAATTCCATTGCAAGGTTCTTAATCACCTTTCAGGGGGGTCCACAAAGCCCCTTAAAGTATATGGAGAACTGTGTGCATATGTAAACACACACATTTTCTGCAGGAAAGGAACAGGACCATTGTTGTTTTTTTCGTTGTTTGTTTGTTTTGAGACAGAGTCTTGCTCTGTCACCGGGCTAGAGTGCTGTGGCGTCATCCTAGCTCACAGCAACCTCAAACTCCTGGGCTCAAGCGATCCTCCTGCCTCAGCCTCCCGAGTAGCTGGGACTACA